GGGGGAGCTGCTGCTTTTTATTTTGCTCTGTAATAGGCTTATTACTCCTGATCACGCTGTGACTATTTGAATGAAGGAGATTTCGGGAGATGAAAGCGGAAGGGAGATTTTAAGTCTCTCAGCGCCTGGCCCTGCAAGGACGGGTGCCCTTGGAGAGGAGGGGGACCCCATACCCGGCACCCCCTGCCCCAATTCCCCCCTCGCCTTGCTGCCCCCGTGAGCCCCCAGTGGTTACAAGCCTCCTAATTTCCAGCCTCAATTTATTCCTGGCCAGTTTATACCATTTGTTTATGTGCCAACACCGTTCCTCAGCTTAAATAGCTCTTTTCCATCCATAATATCCCCCTCTCCCTTTCACTCTTCAGTTATGTTCCAGCGGGCGCAATCATATCTCTTTTCAAGCTGTTCAGGAAAGAAAAATCTGAATTACTTAACCCTTGGGACACTGGTTGGTCTCACAGGGTGTAGAGAGACAAATCTGCTTTGTTCCTGTGCTGGGTCATTGCCTGAATTTGGGAATTTTGGGGACATACTGCTGCTGCCCAGAGGGGAAACTGAAGCACTGACTGTGCTGGGTGAACCAGGACCAGGTTTTGGGCATGGGGTTTGCTCTCCTGGTTGGCTCTGCCCTGTGGGCATGGGGCTCTCTGGCTGTGGCTGCTTCTCAGAAGGGTTTTTCCCTTCCAAGGTGAATATCCAAGAGGTAAAAACTTGGGAAGGCAATGTGCTTCCAGCATGGAGAAGCCACCCAGCCCAGCGTGGCACAGGGACACAGACAGTGTTTGTGCCACAATGCCGGAGCAGGTGAGAGTGGCAGAGCTGCTTCACCAGCTCTGATGTTTTAATTCCAGGCAATTTCCCTCTGATGGATTCACAGTCCTGTCATGGAAAGGAGCAGGTGTCACGGTGCTGGAAAGTTATCAGTGAAACCCAAACCCGATGGAGCTGAGGCATGAGGGGCTCCGTGTGTGGTGTGTCTTGGTTGCCGAGACCTCCCCGTGCTGGGTCCCTGCGGTGCCCGAGGGTGGTGGGATTGTGCCACAACCTCTGCTGGCTCCATGGTGTTGCTGTCCCTCCGTGGAGCTTGTGCTGCCAGGCCATGGGCTGTCCTGGGGGTCTCCCAGGTGTGGGGGGCAGCAGAGGGGCTGCCCCCACCCCACCGCGGAGCTGCTGGCTGCCAGGCGGGTAACGAACACCCTAACAAAGCCCAAATTAGCTGAGCTCTGGCCCTAATGGCAGCTGACAGAGC